ACTTTGTACAACAAAAGTCTCTGGATCATGAGTAATAACAACTATAGAGTTGGGGTCCTCCTCTTTCAGTAAATGTAATTGCTTGAATAGAGCATCTTCACGAGAATCTGTACCCTTGAATTTCGCATTCCATTTGTTTCTGTAAATGTGCATGGAGCAGTTAGATATGCAACAAGAGAAACAACAGATTCAATCAAGTGTTACCTCTTACCTCAAGTTTTGAATATCTTGGGATGTGGCTTTAATGCCATTGGCCACAAGCAAATCCCTGATTTTGTGACGTTTCACGTCATAGTCGAAAAGTTTGCTAACTTCATCAAGGGTTTTCTGGTCAGGGTTCTTGAACTCTGGGTAATGCAAATGTAGATCAGATCTCGCGACCAATTCATGATTTCTGTGATTAGTTTCTACAGTTTTAACAAAATAGCACTTTTCATCAAGTGAGTAGATAATGTTGAACTTTGCCAAACAGTCCCGCTTGTACGAGCTGTAAACAAAATGCAGTTTGTAAAGCATTGCTAAATGAAGGGGAAAGAAACAACAATTGACTTACAGTAAAAGAATACAGGTCTATAAGAAAATTCATACGATTGATTTGGGCGCCTTGCTTTTCCTTCAACATGCTCATGCTCCCTGACTCCTCCAAAGTGCTTGCAGGCCAGTATCGCATCTTTCCAATCGAAAGTCTCTGGCACTTCTGGACGGCCAGGCTTTAGCTTACCATTATACCGCTCTCTCTTTGTACAATTGATCACAGTATATGGAACACGTTGTTCCCATTCATACTTTGACTTGGCATCTTCAAATTCAGCTTGGGAATAAAACTTTTTCCCAGGAACTATGGAAGCCATGGCTATGCCTTAAAAGAGAAAGAACCCAAAAACTGAAAGAAAACTAACAATAATCTGGAAATTTTAACAACAGGGTTGTGCAAGACAAAACTTTAGTAACACAAAATCTATGGTGACGACTAATTTAAAAGAATGAATGGAGCAGCCTCCAACCAATTTGACTAACCCCAATGAATGCGTCAGGGTTATTGTCTAGAGAAGGAATCACAACATTCATTTACTTATTATTTAAATCATTCAAAAACATGGTACATGCTTTGATTTTCACCCGGGTAAACAAACAAGAAATCTCATATCGGTGTTTATTCAAACAACGAAATAATGGACAAAGAAACATGGATGTGCTTACCTGTTGCCTCCAAAACGTGGGAAATGTGACGAAACTTACCGTGCTCCTCATCTACAAACCTGTCGTGTCGTATATCACTTCAGACCCGAATATACACCAGATGCTTTGACAGTCTACGTAGCTCGAGAATCGGAAGATGAAATAACAACAACAACAACAAGTTGCACCGAGCAGACGACAGGAACTACTCGCAAAAGATCACAAATAACTAATATCTCCCGCGTATACCAGTCTCGAGGTCAGTCGGAGAAAACATTCATGTCTTATTCTTGACGAACGCATATACTTTATGAATAGGCAACAGCAAAGAATGCATCAAATAAATAGAACTTTATTCCCATCTGCCGGCTGGTGCTTATAACATGTTTTAGACTAATGTGCACCGGCCGGGGTACATAAAGGGATAAAAAGTAATACGCCCCGCTGATCCCTCCCGGGATCTTCTCCGGTGCGTATAACATTTTACGGGCTTGTGTACACCGGCTGGGGTGCATAACGGCAGGAAAAGTAATACACCCCAGATGATCCCTTTTGGATCCCCCTGGGGTGCATAACTCATGAGGCCCTTATTGACAAGATTTGTTCTGGTGTATATAACTGTGTGACGCTTTATTCGCAACGGTCTGGTGTATATAATTAGATCCAAAGCTTTGCATGAAATTGGTACCGATCAGTGGTCGGAGCGTAAATTTAATGTCACTTATGCTCTGTTGAAGAATACTAAGCGAAATATAATGCAATTACGTCATACATTCAATTTAATTTAGAACAATTTAGAATAAGTTGGACACCGGCTCAGCTGGGTTGTTGTTATTTAACAGTGCAACTACGAATATTAACTGCAGCCGACACATAATATCTGTCAATATCACCTTCCGCACTCTGAACTCTCCCGAGCGCCTGCTCCAGCCCGTCCTGTCAAAACAAAACACAAAAATACCTCGGCCACGGAAGCGTCAGCGGGGCGTTGCAGAATGTTTATACTAGGTACGTGCGACCCAAACTACGTCTTTTTCCCAATAAAATGCAACAGCTGGTTGAGAATGGCTAAAACAAAACAACTTTGTCTGGCTTTAGTATTAATGTCAGTTCATAACAAAGTCCATAATTTTATTTCAGTTCTATTCCAATTGTCATGTTTTCAGAATGGTGGTGTCAGAATGTTTACTTTTGTAATGCTTTGCACGTTAAGATTGTAAGAATTCTGATCATATTAGCAAAGAAGGTTTCAGAATTGGCAAGGTGGTAACAAAGCACAAACAGAATAAAGTTTATACATTTATTACAAAACAGTACAAAAAGAAAAGTATTGTAACAATTTAATGATTACATGAATAGAACTGACTATAATTTATATGCTTATAGAACTTTACCTTCAGACGAGCAAGATCATCCACACAGAATTGAATTTTGATGAAAAAGCACTTTGAGATGAAGTTGTCTGATGATCGGCTAATACTAGTTATTACAAAACAGTAAAAAAATAATACGTATATCACAATTAAAATGTTTACATGAAGAGAACAGACTGTAATTTATTTGCCTAAAGAACTTCACTTAAATATGACTATGATTTTAGGGAAATGGGGATTTTAACTTTAACTTCTATTTTCATAAGGATAATAACCAACTCAACTCCGTAAGTTCAGATATTATCAATATTTTTAATGCAATACCAAATTTCATAAAGGAGAGTTGAAATGTGAAACTATTTAAAGCTAAGTTAAAGAAATGGTTGCTGGAAAAGGAATTTTATTCATTACAGGAATTTAAAGAGTGTAGTACTAACGGCTGATGGACTTTTTTGTAACTTGTGATTGTTGATGTACTCTATCTTATGTGATCTTTTATTTGCTGTGTTAATTTCTATTTTTAACTTTTAAGTTTGACCTCGGTTGAGTGTTTTTTTTTTATGTAAACTCTGCATTTTATAACCGAAATATACCAATACAATACTAGTATCCACACAACAGCATTGATTTCCTATGAGAAGGCACTTTAAGATGAAGTTCTGTGATGATCGGCTAATACTGGTTATACATCTAGAAGAGTCTAGTGTTAGTCTATGAAATCTTCAGTCGCTAATAAAATGAGAAACAACTAGGATTGTTTGACCTCTTCAGACTTGACTTGACTGTCGTCGTTAGAACCTTCCATATCTTGAGTGCTGCTCTTGACGTTGTCGTCGTGAGGGTCGTTCTTGGGGTCTTCATTACTTGTCATGTCTTGAGATGGATCACTGCTGGAGATATTCTCGATGGAGTCCTCAAGTTCTGATACTTCCTCGTGGGCCGATTTCAACGATTGGATCCATCCATCACCTAAAAGAAAATTGTAACGTCAAGTTAGACAATGAGAATGAAAAGTGAAATTGTACGTGGGAGAGATGACCTGAAAACATGCCCGCTTCTGTTATATCAATCCTATAAGAATTGTCGGCCATTATTTCCCGGAAAACCAGGAAAATAGGTTTGCCATCTATGATGTCACCTTTGATTGTTCGCATGTCATCACGAGACAGTTGAGCAAGATATTTCTTAGGCAACTGGGTCCTCAGTTCCTTCCCAAGTGGGCTCATCAGAGCGGCACATGGGCCGTCCCCGTACGCACTGCGCTTGGTTTCAACCATACCGAGCATCTTGTAGGGCTTCTTCTTCATGAGCATTTTGATTTGAGTAAATGGGATCCACTCATTGTTGGCAATCTTCAATTTCTCGTATGGGCAACCCAAATAATTAATTAAAAAGCACATGAAATTAGATGTGCAATAGTAGGTGATGCAAATGTTTTAAAACACATTTCATTTGTAATAAATTTGGTCAAGTCTTAGAAGAGGAATACAATACCGAGGCGACGACACGAGAGTAAAGCGATCACAAATGAAGGTTTGAATAAATACAGGACAGCTCGAAAATTAAAAGGCATGGAGATGTGATTTGATTACAATTAATGGAGATGTGATTTGAAAAAGTCACTGTGCGAGCAAGCAATGTGGGGAGTTATATAACCTAGTTGACACATTGTAAAGTTTTGACTTTATTTAGCCTACAAATTTAAAATTTAACTAAATCGCTGAAGAACAACATCGCTGACAATTAAATGATAGGAAATTGATGGAGGATGTTGCCTTCAGCGAAAAACAGACAGTTAAAAACGTGACTTGTACCGTGCTCTTGCAGCCGGTGTTCACGAATTTATAACACAGATAAGTTGTGCGAAAGGGGTGACGGACATTTTGCCCCGGCTAACTCGCCCCAAGGTACAACTCGCCCCAAAACTAACTCGCCCTGATTTTGGGGCGAGTCTCGATTGCAAGTTTTTGACAATTCGCCCCAATCGACCAAATTTCCAAAATCTCGCCCCATTTCGTTTTAATGGCTCTATTACAATGCCGCCCCGGCCCCGGCCGCCCCCCAGCCGGCATTGTTGTCCCTCCCCTATATAAGCGTGGCGGGCGGGGGAGAGGTCAGTGCGCGGGTAGCCATGGGCGAGGCCGGCACTAGCAAAGTTCGCTACACTACTACTCAGCGTGGGGCGAAGAAAGCAATGTATGACGGGTTTATGTATGTCTTCCACCGTGAGAAGAAGGACGTGGCGGGGTGGCGCTGTGATCTGCGAGGCAACCGTAATGGCCGCATCACCGTGCTGAGGAACGACACCGTCCTTGACCAGCAACCACATACGCATGAACCTGACTGGGGTCGCTGCAAAGCACAATAGACGGTAAGGGCAATCAAGAAGGCGGCAGAGACTTCTAGAGCGACCACCGTCGCTGTGGTTCAAGCGATAATTGCACGGGTGTCAGACAAAACGGCAATGAAGTTGCCCAAGTTTCAAAGCTTAAAGAAGATGGTACGGAGGGTCAAGCGGCGGGACCTACCCCCTGAGCCGAAGGAGCTAGAAGAACTTGAAGAAATACCCAGAAAATTCAGAACTACACTCAAAGGTACATTTTACTTTTTACATGAATAAAATTCAGAATTCGGGGAAAATTTTAACTTATATTAATGTCAGGTGACCGATGGCTTCTACACTACGATCCGGAGGAAGACCAGAGGGTCATCATTTTCACAACAAACCAGCACCTTAAACTTCTTGCGCGGGCCACCTACTGGGTTATGGACGGCACATTCAAGGTGGCGCCGCACGTGGTCTGCCAGGTGTACGCTATCCACGGTGCTGTCAACGGCAAGTGGGTCCCACTCTTCATCGTGCTGATGGAGAGGAAGTCGAGGCGGACCTATGAGGACGTCTTCGAGATTCTGAAGACGGAGACTAGGAGGCGTCTCAGGCGGGAGCTGGCACCGGCTAAGATCTCTACGGACTACGAGCAGTCTGCCATCCAGGCTGTTCGGGCAGCATTCCCAGGTTAATAACCTATTTTTCAATGATAATTCCATTGAAATCGGGCTAATTTGGGTTTTAACGTTGTCGCTTTTTATGCTCCAGATGCAGATGTAGCTGGGTGCCTGTTCCACTTCGGGCAGGCCCAGTGGCGCCAACTTCAGGGTGCGGGCCTCGCCGTCGCCTACCGTCTCGAGGCCAACGAGGAGATGAGGGCGAACTTCCACTCCCTCATCGCCTTGGCCTTCGTCCCGGTGGACGACGTCGAGGACGCATTCGACGCCCTCTCAGAAGCCAGCGTGCTGAATCTGCAGCCCATCTTCGATTACGTCGAAGAACACTATATCAGAGGCCGGCTCCGAGCACGTCGTGGAGGACGTGTCCGTCGGAGGACGGCTCCCCTCTTCCCCCCTCACATATGGAACTGCTACGAGCGGACTCTGGAGGGGCTCCCCAGAACGACCGACACCTGTGAGGCCTGGCACCGGCGGTTGTCGTCGCTCATCGGGAAGCATCACCCTTCCTTCTTCGTCTTCCTGAGCCAGCTCCAGGAGGAAGTGGGCGAGATTGGCGTCCACATCACCAGGGCCGAGGGCGGCCACTCCCCCAGCAAACGCCGCAGCCAGCTGGAGCAGACGGAAAGAAGAATCCACCGTATCGTGGATCGGTACCAGGAGTACAAGGTGGACGACGACATCGTCGCATACCTGCGGGCCATTGGCCACAACTTGGCAGGATATTTCTGAATAAAACCCTTGAAATCCCTTGAAAAACACATTTCATTTGGGGCGATTTAGGACTGCACTCTAAAAAAAATCAGTCCAAAATTTTGTAACATTGATATGAAGTTTTTTCAGTAACAAGATTACAAAATTTTGTAACATACGAGGTTACAAATTTTCGTAACTACGGAGTACAAGTATTTGCTTCCTGGTTACAAAATTTTGTAACATAAGATGTTACAAATTTTCGTAACGTCGCATTACAAATATTTCTTTTCTGATTACTAAATTTTGTAACATTTTGTGCTGTGGTGTGCAGTTGCCGCCACCCCAAAATTAGTAGTATTTTCATATTGCCCTTCCGGAAGGATCATATCATTTAGCCAATGCCTCTTCATCAGAAGTGCATAGTGAATTACCCGAGATCCTTTATCTTCGAGCATTGCAAAGGTCGGTTTTAGCAAAATTATTTTGCTAAATCTTGCCTTTCTCTCGGAGCAATGAATGTTCCAAGGAAGCCGGAACCAATCAGTGACTCTGCAAGTAACTGATACAAAAATGAAGCAGCGTGTAGAAGACGCTACAATTATGCCTGGAAAACGTTGCCATACCCAACCAAGGAGAGTTGGCAGGTACCCTGCGCGCGTTGATATTAAACCAATTGTATCTGACGCATGGTTGACTTTTTGAACAAAAACTTTTATATTCACTGAAGGTCATTGTCTTATGGAGCATACAGCGTAAAATTAAATGTTAGTTTCGTGTCAAAATTTGAGTTTTATGCAAAGAAATGGTTATTGTTAGAGACGCTCTGACCGTTACGCCATCTAGTGGCAGTTACTAGCAACACACAAAATCTGAAAATCTCTCGAGTCGAAGAGATTTGCCTTCGGTAGGCAGCAAAGGCAGACCTTCTCTGCTCTCACACTAAGTTTTACATGAGAGTGTACAAGTTTGTCTTGTTTTTTGGATGGCTGCAACAGCACATTTCTGAACCAAATGGTACAAAATTTTGTAATTGGGACACAAAAATTTGTAATGCGTGGATGCAAAAATTTGTAACATCCTATGTTACAAATTTTTATATCAAGTTAACGAAAAATAGTACCAGGATTAGGACAAACTGTAACAATGTTACAAAAATTTGTAACAATTACAAAAACCTGCAACAGTCACAAAAATTTGCATTCGTATTCTTAAAGTTTGTACGTCGGTTGCAATTTTTTGAAACAATTACAAAATTTTGTCACAACATTACAAATTTTCGAATCTGCATCCAAGGTTACAAAATTTTGTTTCAAAATTGATACTAGAACTTGTAACTTTTTTTAGAGTGTGGGTCGAGATGGGTTTGGGTCGAAATGGTCATGGGGCGAATTAGTACTGGGGCGAAATAGCTGGGGCGAGCTGTCCTAGATCCGTGCGAAAGCGAAGAGAGAGATGCCTGGAACTAAGCAGTGATAAAACTTACCGACATGATGATTTGGCTAATAAATGTGGTACAGATGAATGAAATAGTGATGGACGAAGATGCGGCGAACGTCTTCCTCGCTCGAAGTTCACGGTCTAAATGAGAAGGATAGGGAAACGGAAAACGGAAAACCCAGAAAGGTAGGGCTTCTGCAGCTTCTGGCGGAGAGTGCACCCGGAAGTAGCAGCTTGCCGAACCATGCAAGTTTTCTGGACTAACATCAATTGTAAGTGATTGTTTCTGTGTCTATGTACGTTGCATTAATTTAAATGTTCTATCCTGTTTGTGAAAAAGAATAAAAACACTATAAATTGAAGTTTGAGTTGGATGTGCATGGTCCGCGTTTCAAGTGATGGTACGACTGATTGTAGCCCTGAGCAGGGTCGGTGACTTCGAGTCGAGATCGCTGGTGGTTGTGGTATCTGAACAATCTCAAAGTGCACCGCGTTGTTTTTCCCAATATCCTAAATTACTGAAAGAAGAAACCGTGGCAGAGGTGAGAACAGAATCTTATAAGATTTACCGAAATTATGTTTATAACCTTGTCCCTTGATCCTTAATCGGATAATGGTACGTAAGTGCCGCATCTGATCGCGCCGTCACTGCTCGCCTATTTTGATTTAAGTACATATTTTTCAGAAAAATAATACTTCTTTGTTATTTATTTTGAGTGAAGTAAATGTTTTATCCAGTGTGGCCTTTAACATTTTTTTTTTTTTTTCTAACAGCAAAATACTTGAATAAGGTATTCGATCTACTTGAATGCCCATCTGTTGATGATCACAGTGGTTCCAAAGAAGAAAGTACTGATAATCTGATAAAATCTAATCTTGACATGATACATTCAAATGAAGAAATTAGTTAAGAGGAAGATAACAATGCTTTTTTATCCTTTGAATTACTGGAGCAATGAAAGGTATATCACTTGAAGGTATGTTTCTTAAATTTTTGTTCATGGGTCTTAAACAAAAGAGCGGGCTAAAACTGAGAAGAACAGTACCGAATTGAAGAGACGCCATAGTGTGGAATCTACAAGTGACATTGAGTCTGAAACTGATGAACAGAAGAACCGTAGTGATTCAGAAAACTGGAGAGGGTTGGCACCTATCCCCAAAAAAGTCAAAAACAGCCAAATACTTAAACCCTTGTCTAGAGTTGTCTCTGGTAATGGAGTGCAACTCATTGAAACCTCCAAAAGAGAGAGTATTGTTTAACACGTTGAACCCAGGGGAGGTGGGGGTGCTTAATACGGGTTATTGTGACCATACGTGTGGTCATGTGGGACTCAACGTGGTAATGGACTGATGAAGGGCTTTTCGAAGACAAGTAACAGCACCCATGCACAAGTTAAAAACGCCTGTGCATTTGACGTCCTTGCACAAGTAGTAACCTGAGGGTATATTCAGTACGGTGTGTACAGAACAAGTTTAGAAGTACATCTGGACTGTGACTTCTTGCAGACCTGCAAAAGTCTTGCAGAAAAAGATGCAATGCAGGAGACGTACATGATGCGGTTGGACACCGTAGCCAAGATCACCGACCCCACAGCTAAGGTTGCCCCTCACAAAAGTACCTTAAGAAGAAAGAAGACATCGCTGTCCATCACATGTGACTGCTACAACGACCTACTTAGCAGAATTCTTCTCAAGAATGTGACGTCAGCAACTGTAATATTCAGCTGCTCTCTCCGGCGATTCAGACCGTGTATGCCTGAAGAACAGTGTGTGATTAATGTGGGCATGGAGGTTCTTCTCTATGCAGGAATGAGAAAGCTTGACAAAGCTATGTTAATTGCTCTGAAGATGATGGACTCCTGGAGTGAAGACTGTCCAGGGGGAAACCTTCACTCTACATCCTGCTCAAAGCCTTGCACCGGGCTATCCTCAGTTCGATGTGAGTTTGGCCCTCACTTACTTATAAATGTAGATGTATTTGGGTCCTCTGGACAACACGAGGCAATGAGAAGTACAGTCGCACTTCTAGATTTCTCGACAAAGCTGAACATCCTTGGAGTAAAGTCATTTGTGCTCAGTGACATTGGTGCCCGCCAATCTGCCCATTATATCGCTTGGGCGGAGAGCGACAGGACAGTGGGAGATGTTCAACGACATGTTCGAAAAGGTCAGAGTAGTACAAGACAGCAGCAAAGAAAATCAGACCGTAATTGGCTGAGCGATTAGCGAAGACCATTACTCCACTGACAGGAAAAGTTTCATTCTGTTTGTTTGTTTGTCTGTTTGTCCGCACGATAACTCGAGAAAGAATTGAGAGCGATCTGGGAATTTCAGGGTCGTTTTCTATCACAAAAAGACAGGTTGAGTTCGAAGATGGGCATTCTAGCTCAAAAATTGACATTTAAAAAAATCGAAATTTAGTAGACAAGAGAAGGGCCTCCTATGAAATTGCAAAGCATGCGTGTAAATACTGACAATGCAGCAAAGCCATAGAAGAGACCCCCTCTTCCCCTCCCTAAATACCAGCTGAAAATTTTTTGATTGGCTGAGCGATTAGCGAAGCCTATTACTCCACTGACCGGAAAAGTTTCATTCTGTTTGTTTGTTTGTTTGTTTGTATGTTTGTCTGTCTGTCTGTCCGCACGATAACTCGAGCAAGAATTGAGAGAGCGATCTGGGAATTGCAGGGTCGTTTTGAATCATAAAAAGACAGATCGAGTTCGAAGATGAGCATTCTAGCTCAAAAATTGGCTTTTAAAAAAATCAAAAACTACAGGTCGCAAAATGTATCAAACTTTTAT